TGTTCGCATGTCGCTCATTGAGTATTTCTGTTGTTCTATTAGCGCACTGACTATTTCCGAAAAATATTTCGATAGTTTTAACTCTTTTTGCTGTGGAATATACCATGGTTAATTTATGTAATAAAGCGTTACAAGTTATTTTAGCAAGAAGGTTTGGTCAAATCAATCGCAAACTATGTACTAAATTCCTATTTAAAATAAGTACGAGATATTTACTTATCTTTCTTCAAGAAATACTCTTCTCGCCCCAAAAAAAAGGTCCAATAGCTATTTTCAACAACAAAATGATAAACAAACTATGGACGTAGTGAAGAAATGCATTTACTTATTAAGTAAATTCTTTTAGTCAAATTTCTTCTGAAAGTAGTACAAACTACTCGTAATCTGATGTCCCTATTAAAGTCTACTTCAAGCTTTAATTCAATAAATCTTCAAAAGCACTGAACTGAAGTACATTGATTTTATATCATTATATAGGGAATTGAAAGACCTTTAAAATAAGGTATCACTCGACCCCCCCTTCCATTTATGATTTTAGAGTTGGTGGCACGTGATAACGTGATTTTTTGCCAAACTTGTGTCCCCCTCGAAAACAAAATCGACGGGTCTGAGCGTTTTTCAAAAAAAAACTGAGATGCCAGTAAATGCGTCTGTTTCGTTTTCGATGCGCCACCCTGTATGTGCAATGTAGTACGAGGGTAAACTATGTGGCAGGTGGGGTGACATTTATTCCATCAGATTTGTATTATAGAGCTAGAGGAGTCTGCTTGCTGTCAGGTATTTTTCAGTTCTTTGATCACTTGCATTAGAGGTGGCGCTCATACCACCTTGTTATGCAAAAATAGTGGTGCCAAAAGCCTTACTTTGTAGCAGTAGTGCCAATTCACCGAATATGTTTCGTTTTGCGAAACTTTTGAATCGGAATCGGAACCTAAATATTTGAAAGGAAAGGGTTTATATTTTTGAAAAATTTTAACATTTTCTAATATTTATTGGAAGAAATACCGTAAATATACC